CCATTGTACCCGGTGACTTGGCCGCAGGTGTTGCCCTTCCAGATGTAGTGGAATTTGTTACAGTTGCTCACCATGTCAGGCTGTGTGGGCTGTGGCGTTTCGATGCCGTTGGAGGGAGCTGTGCTGCTTGGAGTCGGTGTAGGGGTTGGGGTTGCGGATGGGATCGAGGATTCGCCATCGACGCCGACGCAGGCGTAGTGGTCCGGCAGTAGGCTGGTGCACTCGAGACCAACCTTGGGGTTCCATTGGGCAAACTGCTGCTGGGTAATATCGTTGTACCAGGTTACTTGGTCACAGGTATTGCCTTTCCAAATGTAATGGAATTTGTTGCAGTTGGCAACCATGTCGACCTGCGTAGGCAGTGGTGTCTGGATGCCAGTGCCTGCACTGTTGGTTGCTGACGTAGTAGATGTGGATGTGGTAGATGTAGGGATTGCTGGCTGCGCTTGATCACGAGCAAAAACGCAGACAAAAGTCTTCACCGTGAGCTGATGGCAGTCCCTGCCGGCCATGTCATTCCACATGATAAAGTCGTCAACAGACACGGCAAAGAGGGAAGCCACCGAGGCGCAGGTGTCGTCGTAGCGCACGGCATAAAACTTTTTGCAGTTGTTTACCATTCCCGGCTGAGCAGGAAATGGAGTAAATATGCCTGCCACAATACACTCAGCGCGACCATCCTCGGTCTAAGGTGACTGCTTCGGGACGCACCATTGGGTATAGGTGTCTGAGTCGGAGTTGGTCGCTGAGTCGGCGTTGAAGTGGTGTCTAGAATGTCCAGCGCGTCATCTGGAAGTGGAAGTCCCGGATCGTACTCAGCCAAGCAGTATGCTCGACCCGTGATGAAGTTTTTGCAATGGTAGTAATTGTCGCGTTTAATCGACGGGTTCTGATGTGCCTCTGGTTAGTTTGTCAACGGCCACAAGGAGGGGGGGCGCAAGACGAGTTTCAACTGCGCTTACCCATCCAAAGAACCAGCGTCGGTCGGTCGTGGTGTAGCTCAGGACGGTATCACAGTCCCAGGTGCCGTCGTTGTTGTACCACACATGGCAAGGGGTACCGGTTCTGGGATCGTGAGGCATATGCGGCTTGGAAGAGATCCTTTGCCAGAGCGAAATGTCCGGCCAAGGGCGATCTTCTGGAGCAAGGCCGTCTTCGGCGAGCGCCAAGAGAGGTAGCAAGGCAAAGATGGCTACTGAGAACTTCATTTCCTGATGGCTGTACCTTGTCTTGATGTGCTGCAAGAAGGAACAGCAACCAATGGCCACACCACTTATATATATAACACCCCTACGGGAATGAGCTGCTGCGGAAGGATAAGAAATCTTCGTCTGATCTTGACCAAATTATTGCTCCCACTTGGTAGCCACGACATCTCAGTGCTCGCTGGGCTATCCTAGACACTTGGACCCTCACTCTTTCTTAAAAGCCAACCCATCTCGGCGAGACTCCGCTGCCGACCGAGGCTTTGATTATTGATACCGCGGAAGCACGCGGGGCACTGGATCACTTAGGGTGGCTCTTCTGTATTAATGTGAGCTTTCCGGGCAAATATACTGAGTTTGCGCAGGCGGTAATATGCCCTTGGCACCGCTCAGCCGCCATCATCCGATCAGACAAAGGGTCCTTGGCTCGCCATCTCTCCACTTGACGCTCAATAGTCGAACTTTAATCCTAGGTATAATTACTAGTCGCTATTCCTCTTTCATTTGTCGGGGCGGGAAGCGGAGAGGACCCTGAGTTATAGATTGATAAGGTAAGAGCGGAGGTCGCTGAGCGCTGCATATTGCCGAATTGGGCGCCGCTATCAATCAGCGTGGAGACGAAGAAGAAAGGAAAAAAAATCTTCAATATACGTCTGACAGTGATGGAAGAGCAAAATGAACCCATTCCATCCCTTCAGGTCCCGTACAGGCGGACGGCGGAAGCTCGGTCACTTGCCGACTATAGCGTTCCCACTTTCTGTTAACGTGAAAGAAGGGCAAAAATAAAAAAAGAATAAATAGAAAAATAAATGAGCAACAAAAGGAAAAGAGGAAAGACCAAAATAAGCCACATTTTCATAGCCATGTGAGTCACCAGCCAGCAAATATGGCCGAGTTCTGAGCGACCGGTGGAGCGTCGCGCAGGATTGTAAGATTGCATCTTCTTCACCGTAGAGTGAGGGAAGAAATGCCAATAAACAAGGCCAAAAGTTTAATGTAGAAAATTTACTTTATGGACACCGAGTTAAGAGAGATGGGAGTAATACAGACAAAGCAAGGAAAAATGCAAGACCGCAGTAACATGCATGCTTCCAGCTGATGACAGACAGGTAGTATCTCACCCCTTGGGGTACCTTAGTAAGTTCGGCTAAGGGTAGCACCCCTTAGCTAACATTGCCCTACATATATACTATATAAAGATTAATTAGTTTATAACTAATTCCCAATTAGGTTAGTAGTTAGGTTAGTAGTTAAGTTAGTAATTAAGTAAGTAATTAAGTTAGTAGTTAAGTTAATAGTTACGTTAGTAGTTACTTAGGGTTAATAGTATATAATTATAATTAGTTGTTAGGTATCAGGGTTAGTTATTAGGTAATAGGGTTAGTTATATAGTATATATTTAAAAGAAATAGGGCTACCTTATCTAAGGGAGCCTATTCTTAGCTAAACTTACTAAGCTACCCTTAGGTAAGGTATATCCATAATAACAGATAGCCTAGAAGGCAAAGAAACAATCTCCTATTACTTAGTATTCTAGTATATATATATACCTATTAAACCTATATAAGTAGCCAACTTAATACTAGCCTCTAATTAGCTAGTACTAGTAGAAGACCTACTTCTATAAGTCTTCCTTAATTCTAGCTATTAAGGAAGGTAGTGTTTATTAACTATAAGAGACTAATTTAACGTTATTACTGCTGTTTTATCATATTCGAATATACCTTGATTCCAACAGTACCATACCAGGCACAACTTACACAATACAACAACTACATCTCTCATCCTATATGTGTGACGACAGGCGGCTCGGAAGCCGGAAGAACGATCTCCCGTCACCCAGTATATCTGGCACTTATCCGTACCATACAACCAGATAGAAGATACACAATACAACAACTTCACCTCTTACCCTATATATGCCCTGTTGGTCTCAATAATGTGTGCCCTGTTGGTCCCAATAGCAGCACCCCTTCACATCAGCAAACCGTAGGCTGATGGTTCTCGTGCCCATGAAATCTATCCCCAACGTCCTCCATGCTGATAATCATATTCCTGTGCTCAATCGCCGGCGGATTGAGCTCACTAAAGAATGCATCATACAGCGCCGCCGCATCCGCCTCACTCGGAAAGTAGTGCTTCGCCACCGCCGCCTTGATCGTCTTCTCCCTGTCCGGCACCCGCCACTGGAGCCACCGCCCCTTCAACACCTTCGTGACCAGCGCGTCCTTGAAGTATTTCTGCATGCCAAACCTGACATTTGACCGCAGCGCCTTCCGCTTCGCCTTTTCCTCGTCACTCATGTTTGGATTGTCCGCATCGGCATTGACGTCGTAGTTGCCGACCGTCCTTGGTTCCTTGATCGTCTTGTCCCAGAAATCTTGTTCGCGCAGCTCAATGACGTGGTCCATGGCCGTGGAGATGAACTTGAGGACTTTCAGGCCGTGCGCCCGTCGGGGGTCGTCGTCGGGCAGGCTGGCGACGTGCTTGTGAATGGTTTGCTGGTTGTCGGAGAGGGTGGAGAAGAATTCCTGAAACTCGGCGGGGGTTGAACCGCGGTTAGAGCCGTCGAGGTGCGGGTAGTTGAGCTGGCCTTTGAAGGGGCGAGGTCCGTTAACACTAAAGGCCACTGCCCTGTGATGTGGCTTGCCGGCCTTGTCGTGCATGACGACCGGATTGGTGATGCCATCGCCAACAGGATTACCAGGCGACCAGGTGGGATTGGCCTTGAGCCATCTCTTGTAGTTGTAGTTCTTTTCGTGGGGTGGGTTCTTTCGTACGAATTCAAGCAGCTCGGGGTTGTCCACCGCGTTTTGTATAATCCTGATGGCAGAGTTGGGATCAGACATGGTTTTCGCCAAGTTGGCAAGATCTTCTTGCTTGCCCCAGCCTCCAATCTTGCCAAGCTCGTTTGATATACCCAAAATGCCAATCTTATCGAGGTTGACTGTGCTGCCACTGGGCTCAATCCATTTGAGAAACTCCCCCAAATAGCACTTTGCACATTGTGACGTGTCAGAATGTCACAGTAGCTTTGGAAGGGGATTGTGTGTTTTCTTACCCTGTTCTTGACGCTGTTGACGACTATTCGAGACCCGACACAGCCCGTCGCAAGTCGCATGTCCCCTTCGTTGAGCATTTCCTCACCAAGGTAAAGTAGATAGTAAAGAGATCTGAGTCATGTGTTAGTGGATTCCAGGGTAACATGTCGCAATGCTCTGAAATGTACCGTTCGGCGACACCTCGAGGGCCAAATGCGGCGGCAAAAGGCGCCGCGAGTACCAGCATAAAAACAGCGGCGAACTTCATGGCGGCTGCCGTAAGTGACGCGGGGACAGATCGAAAAATGGAAAGGGTGTATGAGAACTGAGTAGGAGAAGAAGAGACGGAAAAATGCTACTTTCTGTTATTTGCCAATCATGAACGAGCAGGAGGGCCTATGATGGCGAGCTTTGAAACTCGTGCTGTCCAACATCCATCAATACCGAAGAGCGTGTCAATGCATCTCGGCTTTTGAACTATACGGCATATAACACGATATACCATAGAATTTTAATAATCATGCCGAAGTTCTTGAAAATGACCTGTCAGCTGGCTACAAGTTCCCACCAACACTATTCCGAAGCCGACTGTGGAAATGGTAGTTGATATCGCGAGATTACCACCAAAGTCGTCACAGTGCCGCTCTTGATGTGTCCCGGCGCTGTTTCCTCTTTAGGCAGTGGGAAAGACCCTGCAGATGCCATCAATATCTGAGAACATAACAATAGACCCAGGGCCCCAACGGCGGCGAGCCCTGCGGGGGCAACTGTTAAGATTGCTGGCCCGCAACGGTTTTTTTTTCTTCATCGATATTTCCTGGCTTCTATAGCTTACACTCGTGATTATTATTGCTCTTTTCGGTCGCATTCATGGGCAATTGCGGCCATGCCAAGAATCCGCCTGCACAGCGCCCTGTCAGGGACCATCGAGGTAATGGTCCATCTAGCCCGTGAATCTGGAATTGAGCGGATTACGCGTGTTTCGCTATTCAACAATGACTCATATTAGCCAGACGTAGCCGTTGCTGCACTTATAACTATCAGTCTTGCCTTGTACTTATCGGCGTCACCAAACTGGCACGTTCTTTCCCTGTTTTTTGTCCGGGTGCGCTTTCGCAATGCGACAGCAACTTTCCTTCTCCGCGCTCACTCTGGTGACGCTTCTTCTCGCCGCCAAGGCTCAAGAATCCCATGGCGTCGAGACTGAGATTTATCAGGATTCCATTCTCGATGAAGCGCCTACTGTCGTGGGTAACAAGGATTACCTGGAAGAACCCCCCGAAGACCCGCGCACCTTCTACTCTGACCTGCACCCATGCCCTCGCGCATGCGATGGCAAGCACTCGGACGAGTGGGATCTTTTCACGTCTATCGGTAGACTCGAGTACTGCATAGAGCCTATGCTCATCGATGTGGCGCTTTACAATCCGCTGGATGATAAAGAGACCATCACAGTCATACGTGCCTGCACTCAAGGCAATGCCAACAGTCGCGTCAACGCCGCTTTCGGACCCTCTAATGGGCCAGAGTTTCATAATGCCCCTTTGCTCAACCGCCGCAACATCCTAAGTCGACCGCGGCGCTCATCTCTCGAGTGTCCCGTGGGCAAAGACAGGTCAACGGTGATTCAGCTCAGCATGTCTGGTTCAAGCCCAAAAGATGGTCATCTGGATGCGGCCGTTTTCTTGCTCCATCAGGTCTTAGAGCTCTTTCAAGAGAGCGCTACTTGTCACACAAAATCGATGCTTGGATACTTGAATGGTACTGTCGTGGGAGTTTACGCCGGGACTTCCATCAACAAGGCTTCCGTGCACTCCGTTCTGGAGGAGATTACACCTCTTCTTACAAAAGAAAAAGTCGCCAATGCTACAGCGCAAATTTGCGACTCGCGCGGGAGCGCAAGGGATGTCGTTGGGGTTGCTATATCTTCAAATGGCGATCTCGCGGCGGTGCAGGACGCTCTGCGGCTTTGGGACCGCGTTGACTGTGCTGCGAATCTTGCATCGGCTCAAGAGATTCCCGTGGTAATTCAGGCTGAAGCAAATCTCGCAATGAATCAGACAATGACCAGCAACACTGCATTGTACATAAATCATACCGGCTCTCATGTATCTGAGTTGACACGTCGCGGGTCGTGTCAGATTAAAGACGTTCAAATGGGAGATGGCTGCTGGAAGCTGGCAGTTAGTTGTGGCATTTCGCTCCAAGATCTCAAAAAATACAACGCCGACAAGGGCTTGTGCGATGGTACGGGCGGTCTCTTGGAGGGAATGCAAGTCTGCTGTTCTGAGGGAGGTTTGCCTGATCGCAGTAAAAAGCCTGACAAGGATGGGTAAGTTGCACCCAATCCATGATATCAACAAAGACATCTTACTCAACAACATCTCACAGATATTGCGCATCATACTATGTTCAACCAACCGACACTTGCGCCAAGATCGCCACGGCAAATGGCATCACGACATCAGACTTGGCCAAATTCAATGAGGGACGACATGGGACATGGGGCTGGGCTGGTTGCGGCGTCAATCTCCAAGCCTACATAAACATTGTGAGAGTCTACTATATTGGTTGAAAGGATGTTGTCGCTAACTCGAGTTGCTTAGTGTGTTAGTGAAGGACTACCGCCAATGCCAGCGCCGATCGCCAATGCGGTATGTGGCCCCGTGAAGCCAGGCAGTACGCGTCCAACTGGATCATCTGCAGGCTCTCTTCTCGATATGAACCCGTGTCCGTTGAATGCATGCTGCAACGTATGGGGAAACTGTGGACTTTCGGATGACTTTTGTTTGGATGAACGCGGACCAACAGAAAATCCAGGAACGTCACCACAGGGGAAATTTGGGTTAGTATTCTCACGCACCTATCGTTCAACTGGCCTCACTCTGGAACTCAAATCAGCTAATTAAAATTAGTTGCATCTCAAATTGCGGAATGAGCATAGTCAGCTCCGGACCGCCTGCAGCGTATGGTCGTGTTGGCTACTATGAATCGTGGAACTTCGAGCGCAATTGCCTCTATCTCAAGGCAGAGCATGCTAATACGGACGGAACCTATACAATCATCCACTGGGCCTTTATGGAAATCGATACTGAAAACTGGAAGCCAAAGATCAAGGACCCTCATGCGCAATGGGAAGGTTTCAAGTCTCTGACTGGCGTTAAAAAGGTTATTTCATTCGGCGGTTGGGGTTACTCAACTGCACCGGAAACCTATAATATCCTACGCCAGGCAATGAGCCCTACTCATAGGCTTCAGTTTGCAGGAAACGTTGTCAAGTTCATTATCGAACATGGTCTAGATGGTGTTGACTTCGACTGGGAGTACCCTGGTGTAAGTTTTGGCAGATTGCCCCTGTCTCTTCTGAAATCACTAACACTGCCAAAAATAGGCCACTGACATTCCAGACACACCACCCGGCAGCCCTGAAGATGGCCAAAACTATTTAGCCTTTTTGATCGTCATGAGCAACAAGATTCATAGACAGCCCCCGTATCACTACACGCTTTCAATAGCCGCACCGGCGTCATTCTGGTACCTGAAGGCGTTCCCGATTGAAGTGATGTCTTGGTACCTTGATTATATTGTGTATATGACATACGACCTGCATGGGCAATGGGATGCAGGAAATCAGTGGTCAACTGAGGGCTGCCCAGCTGGAAATTGTCTCCGCTCGCATATCAATCTAACCGAGACTGAGACGGCACTAGCTATGAGTAAGACTTCGCATTTGTTTGCTGATGAATATTTTATTGACCGTTTGCATATAGTAACCAAAGCTGGCGTCCCGTCAAAGAGGATCTACGTCGGTGAAGCCAGCTACGGCCGCTCTTTTAAGATGAGCCATGAGGGTTGTGACGGGCCAGACTGTACTTTTGAAGGCGACCGGATGCACTCGCAAGCCGCCCCGGGCATCTGCACCGACACTTCGGGCTATATATCCTATGCCGAAATTTCTCGCATTATTGAGAATGACTCTTCTTCTAGGCCTTGGCATGACCACGACTCTAATTCGGATATTATGGTCTATCAGGAGACTGAGTGGGTAGCATATATGACGCCAACCACCAAGGACACGAGACGCAATTTTTGGAAGGGCAAGAACTTTGCCGGAACCATTGATTGGGCTGTTGACCTAATGAGCTACCACTCTGACGATGAATCCTTTGGCCACGGTGAGGATTGGTCCAGCGAGTTTGAGGGCGGAACCATCAGTCCTGGTGAGTGTAAGGGGACGTATGCCAGTCTCGAAGACATTGAAAAAGACAGGGATAGCATCCCTTTGCATTGCCGCGACGAGTACACGCTTGTGGCTCTATCATTTATCCTAAAAGACTCCATTTCCAAGCATGACGAGCTGATACAGGACCACTACGATCATAATTTCGGCGTATACGCCGAGGCTGTTGCTAACGGCGCACAGAATACTGTCAAGGATTTCATGTACAAGAACGCCAGCGAGTTCTTCACTTGCCAGGTAACAGAAGTTGTCGATTCATGCAAGCATTGCTGGGATTCTTGGATAAGAAAAGGGAACAACCGGGACAAAACCCGCCTTTGCCGGTACTGTGAAGATTACGTTTGTGGCTCCACAGTATTACCGATGATCTGCTGGGAGATGAATGTTCCTTGCCCTGATCCTCTACACCAATTTCTCTTCCGCGAGAAGGACTTTGCATGCCCACCTGACTTTTCCGAGCGCTCTGATGAACCAGACAAGGACAACCTCATCCGGTCATCAACGAGATGGACGTTAAAAGAGGGCAAAAGCGACGCGTTTTATGCCGCCTTGTTAGCCGGCACAGACGTTTCCAGCGACAAGATTGTGTGGGAGGATGTACGATGGCACGATGCCGATGGACCACCGTCATACCATGCGCACGAACCAATGTACATGGACTTTAACTTCCCTAATCCGAAATACTACAAAAAGGAAGACGTTATGAACCCTAAAGAGGTGATTAACAAGGGCCGCGAAAAGCTCAATTCCATTATGCCAACGATTGACGACGTCTTGGGCCTAGTCCAGCAAAACAAATACGCCGGCCTCGTCGGCGATCTGGTGGACGCACTCTCGGTACCAATCGCCATGGCACAGCAGTCGGTTGCCAACATGCAGCGGGCTAACGACATTGGCCAAAATATTGACGACGAGCAAAAGAAGAACTTTATTATCCTCTTTCTCACCGCTATTCTCTTCTTTATTCCGTTTGTCGGAGAGATTGCTGGCACTATTGGTGTCTTGGCCGGCGTTGCTCGCATTATCACTGTTGTCGGCGAGCTTGGAGCAGTCGGGCTGGACATTTACTCGCTCGTGGACAGTAAAGGCAACGATCCATTTGCCATTGCTGGCATTTTATTTGCGCCTCTTGCTCTGTATGACGTCGCTGCTGTTGCGGCGGCGGCGGCGCTGCGGAGAGGAATGAAGGAGAGGCAAATTACTTCCATTGGCAATGAGGCAAAGCAGACGCTGGACAAGATTGACCGCATCAAAGGTCGTAAGTCGGGTGCCAGGGCAAGCTGTCCGGTGAAGAGGGAGGTTGAACCGATCAAGGTCGCATGGGAGAATGCACTGCTGAAGAGCAGCTTGAATGACACACCTGTGGTGAGGAGCGGCCTTGAGTAAACGTGCAAGATTGCCAGTATTCTGGTGTTCTAGACGCCATCTCTACTCTCATTAGTCACGGACTAATATTCTTTCATTTATTCATTAAAAAAAATCTGGCAAGAAACAAAGTTGTGAGGCATGTCGGTGATATCGGGTGATGAATCGGCCCATATTCAACCCCTCGGGAATAGCCTCATTCTCCAGCGCGAACTTGTTGAATATGGATCTCGGACTTTTGACCGTCACGTGCCAGTCCAGAAAGAAAATTTCCCCTCCCGATACTGGATATTAAGAAAATTCTCCCCAAACCTATAAAGGCCACCTTGCCCTACCCCACCCCTGTGAGCCAAAGTCGACAGCTACATCATCAACCGCAGCATCGATATCCTCATACGACGGACCCTGCGGTACTAGATTGTGGGTTCTCAAGATGGGCACTCTCTGCGGTTTCCCTTGTCTCCCTGCCGAGATCCGCCATCAGATCTGGCTCCTCTCCGTGCCCGACGACCAGCCCGAAATCTGCCTCCCCTGGCCCATCAACGTGCCCGTGTCCATGCACGGCAGAACCGAGCCGCTCTACACGCTCCCGTGCCAGCCGCTCAACGTCGACGTGGCGTTTCCCGTGACCATGCACGTGTGCCGCGAGAGCCGGCACGCGGTGCAGGACTACGTACGCTTTCGCGCGTCGGAAGCGGCGGGCTGCGCGACGCCGTTTCGGCGCTTCCGGCCGGAGCTGGACGTGCTGTTTCTGGGGGACTGCGGCATTCTCTTCATGGACATGTTGGTGTGGCCGCAGTGCAGCGTTTTTCAATCGTATCAATCACCACCCGTGATGGAATATTGGCAGCATCAAAACAGGCAGTACACAAGGTTGATGGAAACGTTGTGCGCGACGCGTCGGTTTGCGGTGGCGGCGGCGTCGATGCCTGGTCAAGACGAAATGGTCAGGTCGTTCTTTTCAAAGGTGTGGGCATATGCCGAGCCCCCGAAACCGACCAGCTTTGAGCTTTGCTTCGTCGTCCCGACTACCAAAGACCTCAACGAGATGAGTCCAGACGACGTGTATGTCAATTTTGTGCCGCCAGGGCGGCGATGCCGTCTAGCGAGTCTTGACAAATGCGACTGGGGTGGTGTGCTGGTACCAACGGACACTGTGAGATCCAAGCCGCTACGGACGTTGGAGGCAGTTGTCACAGACTCGGTCAAAGGAATGAGGGCCGCCGAGGAAAGGAGCCATATCTGTAAGTTTTTTTATGTGGACAGAGATTTTTTTGATTTCATTTCCGCGTCGAGTTTCTAATCAAGAGTGGGGGCAACCCCGAAAAAAAAAGAAGCTGGTGTAAGGTCTCCCGGACCGGATATCACGGACTTCATCGAGGCGACTGCAGGGACCTTTGTGGAATACCAGCGGGATGGGACGTGGACCGAGGTTTGCGCGGACAGAATGTACGACGACGGGATGATGATACTGGAAATACCGCCGGAGGAACGACCAGACCCCGAAGTCCAAAGGGTGTATGACGTGGACGTTGAGTTGCGACTTGCCCGATGTGTATGACCATGCGCGCTCCCGCCGGCTATCTGTGTCCGTTGCTGACTTTGGAGACAGGATGTTTCCGATGATGAAACCTAATATACCGATGGTGAGTAACGGATGAAAGGTCAATACATGCAGAGGGGCCTGGCGTATGTATTTTATATTACGGCGTCGAGATTGATGCCATTGTTGTTAAGAGTCTTTTGCCTGCTTCCGTGGCACCGTGGGTTGTGGCCGTAATAAAGCCACTGATGGGTGTCAAGGTACCGAATTTCGACTGCTACTCATAAAAACAAGAACTCAGGATCATGGCATAAATGACCTGAGTCAAGTACGCTTGCAACAGCTGCTTCCGTCGTAAATGCCGTGTCATAGGACTTGTATACCCAGAACATGAAAAGTAAGCTCTCGCGAAAAAATAGCATAAAAAAACACACGGGGATCAAATCTCAAATCTACCAGCTATGTAATACGGTGGGGTTTTGGCGACCGACTGTAAATGAATGCCGTCGAGTAATGTTGTAATGTTTGTGGTTTTTGCCATAATAATAATAAAGCATGAAGGTGCTTCTTTAGTTACCTCAACTTAAAACAGGGGTGACCCACCCGACACGTTCCCCCAACTGTCCAACGCTACCACCATCACCATCTCAAACCCATCCTTCGATGATCATCTCTTCACCATGGGCTTTTGAGCTCGTCCCAAGCGCACACCATTCACCATGTCCATGAACCGGTTCAACACAGACACGCCGATGCGGCAGCGCGAGGGCTCGCTGCTGTCGCCCGTTAACTACGACGACGACGCCGCCTCCCTGCACTCGCGTAGCGACCAGGACTCGGACAGCGAGGACGACCAGCTGCAGCAGGCGGCCCGCAACAGCCGCGAGCTGCGCGCCCATGACCGCATCGTCCTGGTCGAGGAGGAGGACATTGACCGCCTCGTCACCGACTCCCGCAGGAAGCAGGAGCGCGAGCGCCGCGGGTCTGGCCTCGCCGTTCCCAACCCCCTCAACCTCTTTCGTCGCCCCAGCCTGTCTGCCCTATCCGCCACTAGCTCCGTCGAGGACCTGCGCGCCGAGAAACGCAGCAAGCGCCGGTCGCGCCGCCAGCGCAAGAAGGAGGCGCTGATGGAGCGCGCCGAGCACGGCGAGGACGGCGGTCTGATGTACGAGCTGGAAGAGGGCGGTATCAAGGACGGCAGCACCACGGGCGATAGCAGCGACCGAGACGACAGCGACGAGATGGATAGACGACATCTGGGGCTGATGGCGCAGGAGCATCTGCAGAGGCGGCGAAGCTGGCGGCGCTGGCTCCTGATTCATGTCCTCATTGGCATCGGCTTCACCATCCTCCTGCTTGTCGCTTGGAAATTGAGCAAGGCAAGGCAGCACGGCGGTGTCGCTGTCAAGGATCGATTCGTGAGCAATGGCACGGCCTTGTTTGGACCTACGACATTGGTCATCAGCCTGGACGGCTTCCGCGCCGACTTTTTGAGTCGCGGACTGACGCCACGCTTAAGTGCCTTTGTCAAAGAAGGCATCTCGCCCAAATACATGCTCCCGTCATTCCCATCAGTGACGTTCCCAAACCACTATACGCTGGCGACCGGCCTCTATCCCGAGGCACACGGTGTGGTAGGCAACACCTTTTGGGACCCGGAGCTCAAGGCCGAATTTTACTATACCGACCCCCAACGCAGTCTAGATCCCAAGTGGTGGGGAGGTGAGCCATTCTGGGCTACAGCAGAGAAGCAAGGCGTACGAAGTGCCGTTCACATGTGGCCTGGAAGCGAAGCTCACATCCTCAACATTGAGCCTAGTGTCATGGACAAGTATAATGGCGACGAGCAGCTCGATAATAAAGTTACAAGAATCATGGACTTTTTAGATATGCCCGGCAAGGAAGACGAGTCTGCAGATCCCGCGCACTGGCGTCCTCAACTCATTGCCGCTTACGTGCCCGACGTCGATGCCGACGGACACAAGTACGGCCCCAACAGCACCGAAATTCGCACCACCATCCAGGCTGTCGATACGATGATGGACAAGATCTTCCAGGGCTTGGAGGTGCGTAACCTCACCGATATTGTCAACGTCGTGGTTGTGTCGGACCACGGCATGGCGACGACGGACCGGACACGACTGCTGCAGCTGGAGGACCTGGTCGACACGAGCAAAATTGAACACGTTGACGGCTGGCCGCTGATGGGACTGCGACCCAAGAACCCACAAGATACACAATCACTGTACGATGAGCTCAAGGAAAAACAGAAGACGACGCCTAGCATCGAGGTGTACATGCGAGACGTGGACATGCCCGAGCGTTACCACTTCTCCCAGAATGAGCGCATTGCGCCGCTGTGGATTGTACCCAAGACGGGCTGGGCCATTGTACAAAAGCACGAGTTTGACTTGGCCAAGGTCGCTGAGGATGAGGTGTACCACCCGCGTGGCCTGCACGGCTACGACCACGAGCACCCGCTGATGCGGGCCATTTTCATTGCCCGAGGACCAGCGTTCCCACACCCCGCGAACAGCGAGATGGAACCATTTCGTACGTTGATGCGCAGGGCGCCCCGATGAACCGTTGTTATGAGAACTAACAGGATGACTTAGAAAATATTGAGCTGTACAATCTGCTGTGCGACTCGGTTGGCATCACGCCTCAGCCAAACAACGGCACGCTGAGACTGCCGCTGCAGCCTATTGGCACGCACACGGACGAGGTGGCGGAAGTACAGGACCCTTTGCCGACGGAACCCATCACAGAATCGACGTCGTCTTCCGCGAGCACGCAGCTGACGAGCGCGACCGAGGCAGCCTCGCCTGCTCCGACGCCAGTAGAAGAGATTTCTGCGCCAGCGGAGCCCGAGGGAACAGACCAACCCGTAGCCGGCGACGGAGGCGAGGGCGAGGAACCAGAGGGCAAGCAAGAGCATGGCCTACTGGGATCGCTGGTCGGCGCTGTGGGCGGCGCTTGGGACTGGATCGCAGGACAGGCTGGCAAGGTCTGGAACGACATTGTTGGGGATTCGTAGTATAGATGAATCACTTGGGAATACTGTCGTTTTTTTGTAGGATTCAGGCGTTTCTTTGGGTATCAACTTTGTTACACGTAGCCTTGTTTTGCTTTTTGGTATATATCGGCTCAGCGCAACACTCACTTTAAATACACATTGTGACGGACACGGAGGTTGTGTACAGGTGGCGCAGTCTGAAAACGAGGTGAAGAGCACGTGAAGATGTCACTTTAGGTGAATGCAAATTGAACCGGGTACCGACATGATGCTTCGTTGCGCAGCCCACAATAAAGAATGGTGACACGGTGCTGCTGCCTGTTGGAACCCGCCTTGGTGTGGTGCCGCTGTGAGGAAGCTGCCTACAGCTGGGCAGGCAGTCATCGTGGGCTAGATACAGGCAGACACCAAATTGTCCAGCCATCTCTAGGATATAGCACAAAGACGAAAACGATTGAGAACTGGCCTATGGATATGTAAATTAGCAAAAATTTAAAGGACAGAGGACCAATAGATTCATTGTATTTAGAGTTTATCATCACCGATCGTGGCGGTGTTGTTGGTGTTGTTGCTCCGACTGTGTGCAGATCCAGGCACCAAAGGTCTCCACTAAAATTTAATTCATTGGCCTCGACGCGTCTCCCTCATGATCCTTCCGTGAAGGCACACCAGCATCACGGCGTTTCGCAGCCCTAAAAACCCTTGCGTCACACCGGCATCGACTGTATAAAGCTCCCTTATCCCACCGAGTATCTTCTCATCACCACAGGCAGCCAATTTTTCGAACCGCCTTGCCGGAACCGCCTCCCTCCTTAACAGTCGTCTCCTCCCCCCGAATCTCGAAATCACCACCCCTCCTATTACGTCTCTCCGATCCTGCACGGCGCAGTTACGACCTCTGACTTCACGATAAACTTTTGGCGTGTGCGGCGGTTTTCAGCCGTGCACGGGGCGTGACAGGATGGATATCCAACGGTCGCAGCAAGTGATAACGCTGCAGGAGGAGCTCGGCATCCAGGAAGCCATCATACGCTCGCTCGAGCACGCGCAAGATGCAGAGTCTAAGAGGGCGCGCATCAACGCTAGACGAGAGAGGCAGATGCTCATGGATAGTTTGGAAAGGCTTGGAGGTATGCCGCGTTTGCTTTTCTTGCCGATCGTCGGGTGTTTTGGTTTTCTTTTGCTGACGTGCAAGGTCCAACAGTGAGCTCGTCTCGCACCACACCACCACTTGGCTCTCAAAGCAGTAAGTCACCGAGTAAGGACGGATGCTTGTGGGCTTCTTCATCTACTGACGGGTCGCTTGTAGCAACGAAATCAGAGCGAGCAGCGCATCCATTGTCCGCTCCGCCCGCGACGCCGATGGATCTGCCCACCCGGAAGCGAGAATATGGACAACACAGCAGTCCTCCCGGCCCAGACATGCATTCTAAATCACGAAAGATAATGCCAATGTCGAGTGCCTCCAATAGAGCTCCTAATACCTCGATGAATGCCGTTCTCAACTCGGACAGCCTAGAGGTTATTGACCTCACAGGGTGCGTACCTCCCCGTGTCCCCAATCTCTCTGGACTGGGAATCGTTCCGGCTAACACGACCTAGTGACGATACCACGGATACCACAGGATACATTGCCGCGCAGCTGAGGCTGGAGAACCTGGCGACACAAAGGCGGCGTGACCACGATTTGGCCCAGAGCTTACAGCGGCAGCCAGCGTCGCGGTCCGAGGCAGCCCGCCCGCTCAGTGAGAGCCGCGACCCGCAATCGAATCCGCTGCACCGCCTCATGGCGACTGCGCGGACGAGCGGGGTGCCGAAATATGGCTTTCAAGATGAGGGCTCATCGAATGGCCTCAAAGTGGAGTCCCCGGCGGGCTTCAACGGGAATTCTATTCCGGTACGGCCCATCAGTGAACGCGAACAACAGTTGATGAAGGAAGAGTTTGTCCGCAAAAAGAAACAGAGGGATGAAGAGTACAAACTACATGTTCAGCAAAAAGATCGACAAATGCAGAGAGACATTGCAGCGAGAAACGTGCACCTACAAATGCGGAAACGTGCTCAGCAGATGCTTCCGTCACAGAACTCCGCCATGCATTCTCCTTTTCCCGGAGCCGACTTGTCTATCCCTCCTGGATTTAACGTGCCTGGTGCCTATCCTGAGCTCAGGTGGCCTGTCGGGCCCAGCATTGCCCCGGCCTCGCAGTACCACCAATTGTCCACCCAGTACGCTCTCCCTGTTCTCAAATCCACAAACTGGGCCAAGATCCCCAGCATGGGCTCTTCCTCTGCCAAGGATATGAAGGAAGTTATCAAGGGCAGTAACGACTATTCGTATAGCGCCGCGGTCGCTGGCTTGGGCTTACCTCCCCTACCTGATCGCATGCGCCACTTTGACATGGCCCCGTATCAAGGTTTTCCGGATATGATGCAGGATCAAGGAAAGATGACCAACGAAGAGTTGGAAGAGCTGCTGAAGAATATCCGCCCTGACTTTGAGATTCCCCCCGAGGAACGTCAGGAAAAGGTTCCAGGCCTAAAGGTTAACATCTATCACCATCAACAACTCGCCCTGAAGTGGATGCAAGCGATGGAAGACGGCTCGAACAAAGGAGGCATTCTGGCCGACGACATGGGTCTGGGCAAGACAATCTCGACGCTCGCATTGATGGTGACGAGGCGTGCCACTGGCCGACCCAAAACCAACCTTATCATTGGGCCCCTCGCTCTTCTTCGCCAATGGGAAGCGGAAATTCACAGCAAAGTATCTCTCTCCGATAAGCTGTCTGTATTTGTGTATCACGGCAAAAAGGCCACTACAGAAGAGCTTCTCACGTATGATGTGGTATTGACCACATATGGCACAATTGCTGCAGAGGTCAAGCGACTGGACAAATTTGCAAAAGAAAACATGGAAGCCGGGAGAAGTGCCGACTACTCACAGAAGGAAACCGCGGTCAAGTTCCCTTTGCTGCACCCCACGAAGGCTAAGTACCATCGTGTCATTCTTGATGAAGCCCAATGCATCAAGAACAAGGAGACGCAAACGGCCAAGGCCTGCCACCGCCTACGAGCGACTTTCCGCTGGTGTCTGACCGGCACTCCCATGATGAATGGTGTCACGGAACTGTATTCGCTGCTTGCATTCTTGCACATCCGGCCCTACTCCGCATGGGACAGGTTTCGGCGACAGTTTGGCCCCTTGATGGGCGTCGGGGGAGATGAGAAAACAGCGGCCATGGACACTCTTCGTGCTCTCCTCAAAGCGATTATGCTCAGGCGAATGAAGAACTCGTTGTTGGATGGTAAGCCCATTCTCACGCTGCCAAAGAAGACCGAACAGGTCTTATATGCAGATCTTTCGTCGGACGAGCGTGATTATTACGACCAGCTGGAAGCCAAAGCCCAGGTCCTCTTGAACAAGTACCTGCGTGAAGGCAGTGTTGGAAAGAATTATTCCCACATTCTTGTGCTACTTCTGCGACTTCGCCAGGCGTGCTGCCATCCGCATCTCAATCTCGACGTCAGTGATACTACGCCGGTGACCGAGGAAGATGTTCTTCTGTTGGTCCAACAGCTGCAACCGAGCATCGTGAAAAGGATCAAGGAGGCTGATGGATTCGAGTGTCCTATATGCTACGACGCCGTTCCCTCACCCCAGTTCTTCATTCCTTGTGGCCACGATAGCTGCAGCCAGTGCTTGAGTCGCCTCATCGACAATGCAGCCTCGACCAATATCCAGGAAGGCCACGAGAGCGACAAATGCAAGTGCCCAGTCTGTCGTGGGCGGTTTAACCCGAAACAATGCTTCTCTTTGGAGGCATTTCAAAAGGTGCACATGCCCGAGGCGCTCAAAAAGGGGTCCGACGACGAATCAGACGACGAATCAGACGACGAATCCGACGAGGATGTCATCGACGAGCCTGATGCTGAGGATGACATTTACTCTGACGATACTGTGGATAAGAAGGGAAATTTGGCCGGCTTTGTTGTTGATGACGACTTTTTCGACGAGTCTGATGATGGCATGGACATCAAGCCAGATGTGGCCGATCTTGAGACTGGAGTCAAGCCTGAAGTCAAGCCCGAAGTCAAAGCCGAGAGCTCGTCTTTGGGCTCTGGACTCACATCTGGAGATGAGGATGAAAAGGAGAAGCTGCGCAAGGCTATGATCAAGCAAGGTAAACGTGCACAACCGGTCAAGGCCAAGAAAGCGAAAAAATCCAAAACGAAGAAAGACAAAAAGGGAAAAGAGAAAGACGAGAAAAATGGGGTCATCAAGTCGGACATTAAGCCGTCGATGCTCAAAGAACTTCGCGTCCAAGCCCGCAAGAGTAAGGAGGCCTATCGCAAGTACATGGACTACCTCCGAAAGACTTGGCTTACCTCGGCCAAGGTCGTTGAATGCATTCGCCTGCTCCACGAGGCCGAGAAGCAAGACCGCAAGTCGATTGTCTTCTCCCAGTGGACGCTCCTCCTCGACCTCATCGAGGTCGGCATGGAGGAGGACGGCTTCCGCAACAAGCCCCAGCGCTACGACGGCGGCATGTCCGGCGATGATCGCAACATGGTTGCTAAGGCCTTCCAGGATGAGGGTCGCCGGGATGTGACGGTGATGCTCGTCTCGCTGCGCGCCGGCAACGCCGGCCTCAACCTCACCCAAGCGTCGCGCGTCATCATCATGGACCCCTTTTGGAACCCCTACATTGAGATGCAGGCCGTCGACCGCGCCTACCGCATCGGCCAGACCCGGGAAGTCGAAGTCTTTCGCATCCTCACCAAGGACACGGTGGAGGACCGTATCGTGGACCTCAAGGAGAAGAAGCAGGCCATGGTGGAGGCGGCCCTGGATGAGGCCGAGAGTGCCAAGATTGGACGGCTGGGTGTCAGCGAGCTCAAATTCTTGTTCAACCGACGGGACGATTAAATTGTCGACTCTTTCACATGCGCCTTTTTTCTGTCGCTTTTTGATTCGTGTTTTGATTACTCTGCTCTGGTTTGCTTTTGGCTTTCTTTTTTTGTTACAGCAATAGACACGGAACAGACGGCAACGTATTGTATTGGCTGACATCAAGCGTTGTTTTTTTGCTTATATTGTTTTGTGTTGCTTATGTTTTTTTTTTCATTCTGGATAGTGAAGAAATGGCTTTGCGCTTTTGAGACGAATATGATGTATTGTTTTTTTTATTATTGCTCCGATAGCTAGACAAGATTAGATGATGTTATGCAAAGACAAAAAGATGAATTAAAAAGACGCCTTGCTAACTCTTGGTGACCTTTCCAAACGCCCCGTGTGAACTTTTTTTTTTCCTGTCGTTCTATCGAATCCCTCTATCATCTTCGCAAAACTCCATCGACGACTGCTTCTAGTGTTTCCGTCGCCGAACTCTCCCTGTCCGGCGTCCACGTCCACGACTGCCCAGCGGGGACTGCTTCCGTGCTGGGCAGCGACGCATACTCGGCCGCCGCGTCGCCGGCCGCCGCGCTCGACACCGTCACCTGCAGCGGCGCCAGCTCCCCCCCGGCGGCCGTAGCGTCCCCGCGCTCGACGGAAAACTCGAGCTGCGGCCTGTGCGGAGGGTCGGGCGTGTGGCGGATGATGCGCGTGCCCTG